TTATACCCTAGTTACTATCACAAATTGTCTGAAATGATGAAGGTACCTTTATATCTCCAATTAATAACGTACCGAAGTACTCATCCAATGGGAAGCTATCGAAGGCACTTTAAATGCTCATCCTTTTTTCTCTGAATCTCTCTGTGACGATGTTCGTAACTCTAACTTTTTAAGAATTAAATTTCCATCTTCCGGCGTCTTAGTTGAAGCATCATTTGAACCAAAAGTCTGTCCTTTCTATTGCCATAATAAATGTCGAGAAGATCGCTGAGCTTCTCAAAGTGGAATAGTCGAGCATTATCGCACGTGAATGGTTTTTGTCGATCTAGCTTGGTAATAGGGCGGGATACCTAGCAAACATACTGAAGCTGATGCTGAAAGCCCGGATTCGGATCATTGCTGCTTACATTCTGGCTCTCGTTAGCTGAAGGCAAAAGTGAACAAGAAACTTCTATTCCTGTCACCCTCTTTACTGCTGACGAGATTGCTGAATGACTGAATGGTCGTACCTACTTCGTGTGGGACGTTTTAGCTGCGTAATTATCGACAAAAGCGAAATTCACTGTAATATTGACATTGCAATCACAGCCTGCACAGCTGATAACGCTTAGACTGTTAGCAATGACAACTCCCCAGCATGGCCAATCTATACAGTGTTCCTACCCGCTGCGCCTCTCCACCTACCCTGCAAGCAGTGCTCCCCAACATGCCCGCCTTGAATTGGTCGGTTATTTGCGAATTTATCGCAGAGACTGTCAAGCTGCGTAAATTCTAACATTGCTTTCGATTATGCGCACCATATGCTTCACAACGGAATGGTTCAGGGACGGCGACTTGTGCGTGAATTAATATGGAGCTGTGGCAGACTTGTGCAGCATATACCACACTCTTTCCCTTCATCTACTTGCGTCCAGTGTCAACCTGGCGTCAGGAAGACTGGAGGCGGGATCAGGCACAGGGGCCTGAAGCGGCCGAAGCTACCCGCATGTTCGGCCTTTGTTATGGGAACGCAATCCGAAGAGCACCTCATATAAAAGCACCCCACAACACGTCCCCGGAAACAAATGCGTAACACATTAACACGGCCGAAATCGCACACTGCACACGTATGTACATGGTATTTCTCACGTTAAAGGGAAGTATTTTCCTCGGCTCTTCCATGTGGCTCCCTACAATACCTGAGCTAAGGGCATTCCGTGGGAAATAATGGTGTATTGAGAGTGAAGGGGCAGGGCACGCGTGTAGCACACGTAGACATGCCTCTCATTTTCAACATCACTTGTTTGCCGACACTGACAATCGATTAGTGCACGGGAAAGCTAACAGCGGGGAGTGAAGTGGACTTTTAGACTATGTTTCTCATTATAAATACACTAAAGTGTTTGAGACCTCCATAGTGCGCTAATACGTGGCTTGATAGTTTACCAAATGTCTGTTTAGCGTAGTAGTCGACTAAAAGACTGATAGTGAGGTTGTAATGGCTTCGTTCAAATGTGGATTTCATGTCACTTCCCGTCAATTTTGATTGGAACCATTTTCCTTCTCCTGTCTTCTTGTGGATGTATTTTTAGACCAAGTGGTGTAGTGCATGACTAAGTGCGGATTTATGCCGCTCCAAACAGTTGCACCCTATCTCGCCTTCGTTCTGCTAGTTTCTGTCTCGCAACCGGAGTTGAAGTGACTAGGATGTTAGAACGGTCAGTTGGTGGCGTGCAAGGCTAATATCGCTATCAAGTTATTCGCGCGTAAGTCACCATCCACCATGTTGTGCGACATAAGGTCGGCGTACTTCGATTCGACGTTTGACTTGTCAGCTCGGAATCTTCGGTAATGTCCTGCGAGCGCACCTGGAACGGAAATAATTCATTCTGCAATAAGGGAAGGTAGCAGAGCCGCACTGCAATGTACATTTTAATATTTTCTAAAGCAGCCATGGTTCAATCGGTATAAAGACAATTCGGGGGTCAAGGATGAGATTTTAGTAACAGGGTTAACAGATAATACTTCGTGAGATGACAGTTTGAGATCTCTATCCAAGGAGCGGTTCGTAGTGCTGGGAAATAGCATTAACTTGAAGTAAGTGCATTGCCAAACTTAATGAAAAATCCCATTTTCCATGCGCCGTATGATTTCTCGTTGATAGACAGTTGCTGATGAAACACTTGACAATAAGGTTAGGTTAGTGAGGGAAGGCGTGAATCAAGCACAATAAGGGGCGACAATTTCAAGATAACCAGGTGTAAGAAGGGAGGAGGACGTGAGTTGGATTACCCAGTACGATATAATTAATCGACACAAGTATGGTTGTTTCTACTGTGCATGCTCATCATTTAAAAGCTAGATGCATAGTTTATTTAGCTTTGTTCAAAGCAGAGCAGCAACTTATGCTATGACTAGTTAAAAGGGACATTTTTTTCTTATGACCTGCGGTTGGAACTTGCAATAGGCAGAAACTGTGAGCTAGTACGACCGCTGTACATAAGAGCCAGTAAGAATGAAGCATACATTTATTTCTACGAACATTACAGAATAAACTAACTAAATTAGCATCCAGGTATTCGTTGTGTGGCTGCAGATAAACTTAAGATTTCATAAACATCCAGACGTTGGCAGTAATACGCCCCTATGAAATCCACTTTTCTGTCCTTCATCCGACTTTTCCAGCAAAATCTCAAACGTCAAGCTAAATGAATTAGGAACATTTCAGTGGTATCTTTGAAATACTTGGCTTAATTGTACGACATTCATCAGTAGCACAATAAAGACATTGTTACAGTGACCTACTAGAAATTCTGAAAATTATAATTTATAAATTTTAGCAAAGAACATTCGAACAGGTATGTCGACTAGTCTATTGCGACATGTGCAACTGTTAATACGGAAGACTGAACTCCGAATTCTGATGTATTTACCATCCTCTAGTAGCAAAAGCAACCTGAAAACTAACCTTTCACCAAATGCGCATGTAGAATTATTGTATTTTGATTGATTGAGTCAGGTTAGGCAATCGATACAAAACAAGGCGCGAGAAATGATATCCTTAACGTGCCTGGTTTCTATAGCATTGGTGTGAAAAAAAACACCTCGCGAAAAAAGTTAGCCAGTGATCAGTTTTTAAAGGCACCACTCATTCAATAAAAACTGAAACCTAATATGAAATAAATGATCTTGTTACTATTATTCGTTTGTGTCCGTGTAAAGGCTAAACAGGGCGTAATACAGTTTAATGCAAAGGAAGACACCCCTTCTCAAAGTTTAGGTTGAGCAAATGGCTGGTACATAGAAATGAAGCCCACGTTGCTGCACTGTGTAAGTTTATACAGAGTCGGCCTTTACTTATATTACCTTCCCTGTATATAAACATAAAGTCGGTGAAAAATCTCGTGAATTTTTATTCGAAATCCTGAAATGCGTTTTAATTAAATAGGATTAAGTAAGTGGCGTCGTAATAATTGTTATCATGCATCATAGTCATAAGATATTTTAGTCACTGCAGAATGCCCGCTTTAAAATGCCTCCCTTTTCGGTCGCTTGTAAAAACCGTACTCGGTAAATAATGACTTTATACTTATTATGATTTTTCCCATAATCTTCGATGTCCTTGATGATCAACATATATCTTGGAGGAAACTTGTCCAATGCTTACCTTTGTTGCATTCAGTTAATAATAGATCACCTCATCTCCAAACGCTATTCACAAATTATGGGCAGATTCCCGTTTTTAAAAGTGTGTCCAATCCCGAAGATTGTTTAAATAAAGCGATCATTTTTTACTATGTGCAGTACCCTGAAAGAACCGAAGATAATCGCGCGTAAAAGCTGGCGTCGTGAAATGACGAGTGGAGTATTGGGATGATTCTACATTTTAAATTTTAACAGCTTAAATTACGTAATATAGGGGTTGCATGTGACCACGATATCAATTTTACAGTGGCACTTAGTCAAAGTTCGGCCACACAGATGCGGTCGGGTCGACGCATATTTTTAGAAGTAATTACTAGTCAAATAGTACTTTTTGTGTATTAAATCAGAGAAACGTATGAATTTTGATGGCGCAAAAAACCGAAGCTAAAAGTTTGTATTCCGAATCGGTAGGCACGGCTTTTGTCTCGATAATGCACGTTCCCCGCCCGCATACGGAACTCGTTTGTCCAGGTCTGTCTTGGGCCTCATTTCTTGGGCTCTGACGTCAACCATAGAAGCTAGTAGTATAGGCAGATATTATCGTCAGCTACGGCATACGAAGCTGATCAAAAAGTCGCGAGTTCGACTGGCCATTCCAGTCTCCCTTGTTCTTGCTAGCAATACTACCTGCCTATAATACAGCTTTTGCCTGTTAATTGCTGAATCCAATTTAGCCACCTCGTACTGCTTTGTGCAACATTCCAGGTGAAAGTTAGCTGTTTATATACGGAGTTTGTTTGCTGGGTTGGACACCTGTTAGGTATATCGTCCAATTCCTGTTCGTTCGTCAATTTCTAGTCATTATTTTCGAAAGGAAAAATTAAAAACTTTTATAGGCCTTTCCCTGAAACTGCAAATTAAAAAAAGAAGAATGCACTTTTAAAAAGACTGCCTAATATAAGCGGGTTGGTATCAAGATATAATTAATGACGTCCGTCAAGGCAGATGCGCGGAAAAGTAAATTTGCTAGGCAGTTCCAAAAATGGTAAACGCTTGAGAATGTCTGAACACGAGGCGCGTACATGTTCAGATATATCCTTATAACTGAGTTTATTTGCTAAAGACACTTCTGTGCAGTGATTGTAAGCTTAGTTGGCTATTTTTGTCTTCGTAATATAACCTTTAAAAATATTAATAAAGTAAGTCACCGTGATTTGGCAAACCTTTTGACTAACCTGCACAATATCTCTTTCAGCACGTTGTCCGCGTGAAGTGAGTCGAACGTCATCTCCGTCCAATTCCTCCATAGCGGAGAAGTCGGCAGAGCCAACGCCAACAATGATAATGCTAATGGGGAGGCGGGAGGCCTTAAATCCAAAAATAATTACGATGTAAACGATTTTGAAATAACCAAAATACAGATGGGCGATGGGGTGCTTTTTCCTACAACGCATTTAGATGCGAACTGAATGCAACAGGAAGGACGTTTAGGGGAAACAATAATTATGATATCTCATGCGCAGGAAGAACAAGTTGTGCGTAGGTGACGAAAGAGTACACTTTACCGTTATGTTCCATTAATCTTTGTGATATTTAAGGTATGAAAAAAAACTGGCAGGTGATAATATACATAAAAATCTTCTTAACCTTGTTATAAATTTTAGCGGAAAGGTATGGTTTCTACTCGTATGGGGTAAAAGATGAAACAATTCGAAAGTACCTGACCGGGTCACTGCAAGTACGCTAATAAATGGTTTGAAACATGCCAAATTTTCTCTAAATTACAAACACTGAAACCAAAATCCCTTCGTGTTTTGCAGGTCAATAAAACCTAATACAACATGATAAGATGAGATCTTTAGCTGCGATAAAGTGAGGGGTAAAATCACGTGAGGGAAGGAAAACGTAAATAAGCGGCGTGTAATAACAGATTCGTTTGTCTTTAACAAAAAGTTTACAAAGCGCGCCTAGATTCCACTATGTGAACGAATCACAGTAAAGTCTTATTACATAATTTACAGAGTAAAGAAAAGCATTTTCCTTTAGCGGTTTTAACTGAGGAAGAAACGTTGTTCTATTTACAGTGAAAGGAAAAACTTGTAGATTCTGCGATGTGAAATTCCAACTGCCTCGGCAATGTCTTAAGTTCTCATTAGTGCTTTGGCAAACATGATACTACAGTATAGCACAACAATGCACCATTACATGACTCCAAACCCGTCGCAAGTGGAACAGAACTAACAGCAGCCGCAATTTTCTACTCTTTTCTAGACTCTTTTCTACTGTCCATCGTCACGCGCGCGTGCGAGCGCGCGCGCACACACTTTCTAAAAGCAGTGATTTTGAACGGGAAAACTATGTTTAACTTTCGCCTAGGTGCGCGCTTTAGGAGGGAATTGAGGTGTGTGCAGCTGTTTTTGACGATGGCAGGTATTGTCGTTGTTAAGCGTCACCCTGCACCGCCAGAGAGACAGCGAAAAGGTGTTTCGTCTCGGGAACGTCGAGAATATATGGCTTTAGGTTAGAAAAACGCAATTTAAAAAGGAAGACAGTGTCTCCGGACACTTTATTTAACGCCCTTCGTGAATATTTCATGCATGGAAGACTAACCTGCAGAATTATCGCTGCGTGCACTAATTTTCTGTATTAGTCGCTAAATAAATACACGCCTACTTCGAACCAGAGGAGTGGAAATAACACTATGTGAAACGGTACTAAACCGCAGTATTGCAGCCTTAACTTAGAAGTCTCTCCCACGTACACAACTGTCAGGATAATTAAAAAAAGGAATTTCAGCAACATGGTACTACAACTAAGTAAGCCCTTTTGGATTATGCGCTATCAGTTGGCAGAAATAAGTTAACGACCTGCGGCGTAGTGATGAGCGGATGTTTAAGCGAAACATGTGCTTGTTGCTTGTATATTGACTGGCAACGAAAGGTAGGCAAACATAAAAGTTATAAGGTTTCCCTCTTCGTCTATAACGCCTTTTCAATTTTTGACTGTCAGTAACTACTTAGTTTATTGAGAGGACTGTTGAATTTAGACCATCAAACAGCGAGGACAGATTGATTTACGCCAATTAATGTGACCGTATAAGCCAAGTCTGCAATAGTCTGCGCACAGCGTCATGTTCCACTGCGAGACATGTACTAAAGAGGGATTTATTATTATTATTATTATTAAATGGAGGTGTTCCATCCTTACAGGCTCTAAAGGCCACAGTCGCAAGCATAATTATCCGAATGACAAACACTGTCACAAGATATTTAGAGTTACGGTTTCAAGATTTTAACGATAAAGAGAAACTACATCACCGACGGAAGCAAAAGGTCGAATCATGGAAACACTTCAGAATAAGGCGCTTAGTCGACTGATATTTCGGCTTCTCACTGGAAACTGTGATGAGAAATAGTCGTAGATACGAAAAGTGAAGGTACTAATAGTACAAAATTTATAGTACGTAGTTGCGGTGCTACCATATGATAAGCAGGTGTTGTAACCACCGCTGGGGTTTTTAATGATTGTCTGTTTGCTTGTCAGTTTGCGTGCTAGTCGTTATCGGCCGCAATTTGATCCTGTGCGTTCAATGTCGGCGTGATCACTATTCGGCATCGCTGGCTGCTACTGGAACCGTTGGTCGCCCACGCCCTACTCACGTGACTGGTTACCATTCCATTGCACAGTAGGGAGCAGGTGGTCAGTGCCCTTGCCGATGGACTGCGAACCTCAGAATCATGACTCGAGCAGGTCGAGTATTCATGCGGTTGTCACCACTTACGAGGACTTCGTCCTCGAAAAAGCTGCTCGAATTTTGCTTCTCAGGCCTGCAGTCCATCAAAAAGTGCAATGGCCGCCTGCAGTGACAGCAAACTAAATTGCGTTATAACCGAGGCATATCCGTAACCAAGTTCAATCACACAACAAGCAGGTAAGGTAGTTATTTTAGTGTTGGGCTAGGTTTAAAAAAATATACCCAGTATTGCTCGATTGGATTTTTTTGCACTGCTTTTCTGTACATTATAAAAAAATTGATTGAGAATAAGCCGACTCGATCGCTGGCATAATACTTTGATTCGCCTGACGTTTCCAGATCCGTCGCAGACTCATTTTCAAAAACACCATGTAGGGCAAGGAGCAACGGTCGTTATCACATATGGAGCCAAAAGTTCTGGTTTAGATTAAAGTTTACATGTGATAAAGTCGAATGTACCGAAACAACAGTCTGCCTTTCTTTCGGGGTACGGTTTGCATTTTGAATGACACTTTAAGGCAGTTTTACAGTTGATAGATTCCGACGACCTATAAATAAATAAAACCGATAAATTCACCCTGACAGGCAATTTATCCCGTAATTTATGTTGGGCCCAATCTAATAGCGGTACTTAAATTCACGTAAGACGCGTCTTTGACAGTTCTTCTACATTATCTTGTCGAACGGAAATACCTAACTAAATTCAGGCAAATATCTATGTTTTGTCTTTTGAATTTTGTAAGTCCGAAGACCTGACAATGTTTACTTTTCATAAAATATATGCTGGCTACCACTTTCGACTATCTATTACAGGTAATTATTCGTCCATTGGTCGGTGTACTGAGAAAAAAAGTGGCAAAGGCTCTAGTACATTAATGAAAGGAATGCAGATTAGGATTGAACTTGCGACTGCAGCTTACGTTTACGACAGCTGCCTTTGTTTGTGGCATGTCGCATATGATTCCATCAGTGATAATCAGAAGAATATAGTATTGCGATCCATCATCCGTTTGCATTGCCAAACTAAAATAAATAAATATTTTGATAGCCTTACTTTAAACAATCATGTTAAAGAAATGTAAATGAGAAGCTGCACCTTCAGTTATGACTTCATAAATTTCAGCTTGGCAACAGGTAAGTTAGTAATGAAAGCTTTCAAAAATGTTTGTCATTTAGGAATTTCGAAGGACCGAAATTTAGCAGATAGATACAATATTTATATGTAAGCGGAGGTAGTTCAAGGGATAATAAGTTAGTGAATGAGACAGATATTGAAAAACGACCAGCAAAAACCCAAGTAATGCCGACACAAGGGAACCCAAATAGTACGCTATCATATTGCAAAATAAAAACGTTTAGTCCGCCGAAACACTATAAATTGGCACTTAAGCCAAACGCTAGCGCTTTTCACTAGAGAAATCGAAACCAGAAACATTGTGATAGAAACAATCGAATATCTATTTCAAGCATGTTGGCATTCTAAATATTAAAGAAACAATGATATTTGACCTGAGGGTCCGCGTCCATGGCGATTCTGCAACGTGACCTTCTACTGTTAGTAATAGCAGCAGTATTCGTAAACCCTATACTTATGTTATGTTTTCTGTTTGGAGTTTTAAATAAACTGAATAGGGATAACGGCAGCAGACAGATACAGGCTTTTACAATTTCGATGTAAATATGTAGGATATATCAGCAGGCACTTGTATATTACATAAATTAAGCAAGCAATCGTTAGAAAAGTACACCTTGAAACAGGCTGAAATACCAGAAAACTTGGAAACTCTTCGTTAAAAACGTAACGTCTGCGCATCTGGAGTTCCAGCTAGAGCAAAAACCTTAAAAGTAAGTCGACTACAAAAAGACCTTCACGAAAAACTGCCTATTTCGTATAAACCGAAAGGTAGGCATCCCAAGAAATGTAATTTCATGGAAAG